TCATTGTGAGTTGGGGTTCAGCTTATTAAATAGATTGTATATCAAACATAGAAATAGAATGGCAATAGATTTAATAATTCAATAAAACAGTTGGCGAAAAGTAACTTTGGGGTTCAAAAACTAGAAATTTTTAGTCATACTCATATTTGAATGATGTTTATCACGTATAGCAAATTTTGAAAAGCTCGTATAGTTTTGTGAGACCAGACACACACACACAGAAATATGCTTTCTTCATCTAAATTGTTCATTTTCTGACAATAAAATACCTGTAAGCTTTTTTATAGATGATTTTTCACTTGTCTTCGTCAGTAAAGCATTGGTTGTTTTTTAGGAAATAAACGTAAATATCTGGTACCAACTTAAATAAACCTGTAAGTAAATGCTGAATCCAATGAAATAAACATTGCCAGCTCATTGACATGTAGTTGAAACATTTAATTTATCCTTATTAGGATACAAAGTAGTAGCATCTCGTACCTAACAGGGCCGGCCTCAGGGCAGAGCAACACTGGCGACTGACTGCCCAGGCGCTACGAAGCAGGAGCATCAAATCTCAAAAATTATTCTGATACCCAATTTATATTAATTATCTTTTTAAATTTACACAAAAGTCCGCAATAATTCAATCAGAAAGGCTGGCATTAATCAATATAAAATATAATAATGAATCTGGTATATTAGAATCAAGGTTCTAGTAATAGTGAACATGACACAACCGTTTAGAAGCTCTATTGCAAGAATACACATGATTTCTTCAATATTCGAGCTGCACGTACACGCTGCAGGATCAAATTCAGGCTTTTTCAACCTGACATAAAAAAAAATAAGTCAAAGTAGGACTGTTACGGAATAGCTTTTACGTGTACGTGGAATTACTCGTTCCAGTTCCAATTTAATATCTATTCGAATAAGTTCATCCACTTCGTCGACTATAATAGTGTATACGTGTTGTGGTACGCTACTCATGAAAGTTGAATATCTCGGAGTGAAAGTGCATAAAATATAGTGAACTATGAACATATCGATTGTAGTGACCCTCGTGCACACGACTAACATCAAATCAAGGTATTAGAGTATGTAAGAAACGTATTAATTATTACACATAAACACAAACCCACGATAACAACAAAAAGTGATTGCACATAGAATGGAATTGCTTCATATATATATATATAACAAATAACGAAATCTACAACCAGTTATAGAGTGTCTTGAAGAAAAACATAGAAGTCGAGCAGCAACTGAAAAATAACAAACACGAGATCAAACAAGAATTCCAAAATCTAAAAGAAAATTTGACGAGAGAGCTAAACATCTTACAACAAGAGACTAAATAGTAGAAGGATAAAGTTTCTGAGCTTAAAGGAAAATTTAAGAGCGACAAGCAAAAAAATATAATCTTATACGGAGTGAAAGAAGGAGAGAACTCAGTAACCGACTTATACGCAATACTGAATATTTTTTGTGAGAAACTTGGAATAAAATGTGGCCTTTCAGACTTCAGGGACATATACAGAATAGGACAGAAGCAAAATAATAAAGCGATGCCAGCTATTGTGGAAGTACTGAACTATCAAGTTAAGAAAGTCAGCTTAGAAAACGCTAAAATCTCAAGGGAACCAGAGTAAGCTTAAGCCTGGACTACTCGAAATAATGCTACACTCAAAGGAAAACGCTGTATAAAAACTTCCAATCAGCTAGGAGTGCAGGTTTCCAGGCTAGGAAACATAACAATAGATTGTATATCGACGAGGAAATTTTTACTCCAGAAGAACTGTCTCAACGTGATCCAGACACGACGAAAATGTGCCTATTTGTTGCTTAAATGCTTAATTTTGAAAAACATTGAGTTGTTGTTTTGTTTCTGTTTTGTTGGTTTGGTGTGTACCCGACATTAGGATACATAGTAGTGCCATTTCGTACTTAACAGGGCCGGCCTCACGGCAGAGCAACACGGACGACAAAAATTATTTTAATACGCAATTTATATTAATTCTATTTTTAAATTTATACAAAATAATTCAATCAGAAAGGGCGGCATTAATCAATGTAAAATATAATAATGAGTTTGGAATATTAAAATCAAGGTTCTAGTAATAGTGAACGTGACACAACCATTTAGAAGCTCTATGTTTTCTGCAATATTCGAACAGCACGTGCACGGTGCAGGATCTAACAGGCTTTTTCAACCCCACGTAAAAAATAGTCAAAGAACGGGTGTTACGGAATAGCTTTTACGTGTACCTGGAATTACTCGTTCCAGTTCCAATTCGATATCCTTTCCAATAGCTCACTCCAGTTGCGGCCACCGAGTTCCAGCGTCTATTTCAGAGGCAGATTAGGAACCTCTTTTTTACCACTGTGTGTTTTAAAAGTTAAAACATTTAGGTCAAATGATCATATGAAGTTTTCATCTTAAAATGAACCTGAAACCACCCCCTTAGATATGGACATTCAATTAGGAAACAAACTAAATTGCAGCTACTGATACTACAAGAGATAAATACAGACTTTCGAGCCAAAGATTTCATTTTTTTCTTACTATGACTATCATAACTAGCAAAATCTGCTTTTCATATGAGTCTCTCAAATATTAAGCTTTTGATATGTCTTTCTCAAACAGAAAATGTTCTTTCCTATGCAACAGTTTTAATAGATTTTCTCTTTTATGTTAAGATTACAAGTCAATTAACGAACGAATTGGAGAAGAAACTGTATTTAAGTTTCCTCACTTTTTTTTCATAAACCACATTCTACAACATCAATATATGGTGCACCATATTGTTCTTTGAGGCTCAGTGTATCGATCCCCTTGTTATTGATGATGCCACTGATGTATTTTTTTAGTATGCTCAGTAGCTGAAGTCTCCATTATTGATAGCAATTTAAATCCAAAATGTATAACCAGCAGTTTAAATACAGATCAAATTCTGTTCCTCAGAGCCAGGTTAGGTTAAGTTCATTTTCCTAAAATGAGTCTTACATGTTAAGTTCATGATAAAGTTGGGAGTTTTAATTTGATACTTGCAGCATCTATCTATCTGCAGCGATAAGTGGATTATGAATGCAATGCAATTATCTTAAAACTACTTATTAGGGCTTAACCTAGGCTGACTTTGAGGTACCTACCATTTTTAACATAATGGGTCTTTTCCACTTATCTAGTTATTTGAATTGTTTGGAATTTGTTTAACAGGAAAGTAATTCCGTTGATGTGTCCAAATTTTCATTTATTTTACCATTTGTAATTAATTATGGAATTTTATGTCATAAAGTTTTTCTGCTTTTACTTCATGCTGCAACTCTATTTTTCTGTTTACTCTATGTAACCTTTCATTTTTGGTAATCCTACATGACCATGGAATTCTGAGCACCTTGAGTAGCGATGGTCAATAATAGTAATTATGATCTGCACAACACACACACATTATACATTCTTGTAGCCTGACATTCTACACAATCTAGAGTCACACAATGATTTGTAAAAAAGCATTTCTGACAACGACAATGCATTAATTGGACTTGTCATACAATGCTTCTTATCCATGGAGGAACCATCTCATAAAGTCTGAGAGAATAGTACTGAATCTACGACGTGGCAAAATTCGGCATTATATTTTGAAGTTTCGTCAACCATTACTGTGAACATGAACTTTAATAGTGTTTATGTTTCGGGCTCACAACATTATGCCGCAGACACAGTAAATATTGGTCCTGCCGCAAATTATATGTATACTAAGTGACATATAAATCCGAACACCCAGTTTAAATGGTTTTATTTTAATAAAATTTTGTATAAGTACTTAAAGAAGCATAATAAGTAAATGATAAAGATTTCAAAATGATTGCACTGCGTTAAAGCCCTTTGACCTTTAATAATGTGTGGATGCACCCTGATGTGCTACGCATTCTCCAACGCGCCTAGGCATGCTTCTGATCAGGTGGTCAATGTCCTCCTGTGGTATGTCATTCCAGGCAACCACCAACTCCTCTCGAAGTGCTTCTAGAGTCTGAGGAGGACGTTGCAAATTGAGCAATCTCCTACCCATCATATCCCACACGTGCTCAATTGGGAATAAGTCGGGAGATCTTGGTGGCCATGGTAACAATGTGACATCATTATGGTGTAAGAAGTCTATTGTGACTCTTGCAACATGTGGTCGGGCATTATCTTGTTGGAAAGTTGGATCTGCCAGGGTGTCAAGATAGGGTAAAAGATGGGGTTCTAGAACTTCGTGGATATAACGCTGCGCGTTCATGTTACCTCTGATGAAGATTAAAGGTGACCTGGAACCATAAGCTATAGCACCCCAAACCATAACTCCAACAGTGTGATGAACATGTCTTTCAACAAAAAACTGTGGATTCCTCCTTTCACCATGTCGCCTTCTAACCCTGGCACGACCATCGTGCATGTCTAAACAAAATCGAGACTCGTCACTAAAGACAATACTGTTCCATTTCTGATCCCAGAGTGACCGTTGTCTGCAGAGTCTGCACCACTCAAGGCGATTACGTCGGTGCAATAATGTAAACAAACCAGCATGTCAAATAAAATACGATGAAATGATGGAATTTGAGAGCAAAAATTGTATTTTGATTCATAATTCGGTAATTCCTGAAAAGCGGACCACGTATTCCTTCTTTTTTCGGAAGACAGGATACATGCGTTACATTCAATTTCAACCAAAAATATTAATACTTAAATAAATACAACAACATAGGCAACCCTAACCCTTCATTTCTTTTTCATAGTATGATGTTGATGTATATTCTCTGACTCAGTGAGTTGTTACTATAGGCAACACAATACTCTCGTCAGCTTCGCGGGCGGTCGATAATCGTATCGTTCAAATGAACGACTCCGAACGAACGACTCACTGAAAGATAGATGAACGACATGAGCGAGCTCAGAGAAAAGAGTCGTATGTCTCAAGCCTAGCCTAGATGAATAGCCAGCTGCTGGTCTAAAATTAAATATATATAGAGAACAATCTTATCTATCGTTCTAAGGTTCTAAGGTATTATAGGAAACTTTTATTGGCTGTTGAAAATGGAATATTACAGAATGTGCATTAACCAACCAACTGAGACGTAACTAGTCACGTGACTGTTACCACACCTCATTTTCTTCACATCCTTTACCATAATATAAAGGGTTTCTTCGGTTCCTTACTCGTTCACTACCGTTTCTCGTTTGGGTGTCGTTTGGCGGGAACGATTGGAACGAAGAGCAAACTTGTGTAGTAAGCACATATGGATATTTCTGATTAACGACCAGACGCGTTTGCTTGTGGTTGTAGCAAAGGTAGTGCGTATAGTGATATCCAAATCGTACAAAATGGCATCTATACGTGCACCCACAGAATCTACATCAAAGGTGTGTTGTAATTTGAAACATTTTCGAGCCTTTCATAACAATTTCTTTTCCTTACAGGACTCTGGCACTCCCGAAAAGAAACAAAAAGTAGAATCTACGACTAAGGTACGTTTAATTTTGGAGCATGTAGTCTTATCGATTTTCCTTTCCTAATTTCAACATTATTCACTCTTTTTTTAGCTGCCAGATCTTGAAGCCACTGCTAGTGCTACACTTACCTATCCCGAGGAAAAGGCCAAAGGCGGTAAGCTGAATTGATTACTGAAATCGAATATCTATTTCAATCTATACGTCGGTAAAGTAGAAAAATGGTTGTTCTAGAGAGTTGTCTCTATTTTTAATATATATGGTCCTTGGGATCGAATTACTACCTTCATGATCGAGGCCGCTCTTAGATTTTTCACTCACAACTGCTCATAATTACAGTTAGGTGCATATTTTTGCAAAAATTACAAATATATGGCATAAGCAGACCAGCATTTTTTTGGATAGAATCATATCTTGGTAATTGTAAGTAAAAAGTAAAACTATTGCGACATAAGGAACAGCTATTTTGAACGAGCTTAATGTTAATGCCTCAGGAGAGTATATTAGGTCCCACATTGTAATTTTTTTAAATGACATCGACACCTGTATCAAACCTGATGTATGCAAAATCACAAAGTATGCAGGTGACACAAATTTGCTTATTACTGCTACAGATCCTGAGAATGCAGGTGGATATAATATGAACCATGTACAAACCTGGTGTTTTAACAATAAGCTACTAATTCTTAATAAAACTAAAACCTGTGCTATTTTTCTCTGTAGAGCAAATTTTCTACATTCAATTTGTCTTGATGGTACAACAATAACAGTATCTGACAATACTAGATTTCTTTGTCTTGAATTAGATAGTTACCTCAGGTGGAACAACCATATAAGTTATTTAAGAAAGAAGCTCAATGAGGTATGCTATTCTATAAGAATTATTGGTAAATATTTGGATAGAAAAACTTTGAATGTTGGGTATCGCTCAAATTTTGAATCCAGATTAATGTATGGAAAATTATCTTATTCAGAAACTTCAGACTTTGATGGAATTTTTGTAATACAAAAGAGAAATATTTCAGAATTTTAACAGTTTTTGGAGTGTTTATTAGAAAGTGCCTCATATATCTAAATAACTGGTTCAGTTTTCAACTATATTTATCCTAAACATAGATTAGCATTATCTGAAAAACAACCCCTTTATAATTGTCTAAAACATTTACCAGAAGATGTAAAAAAGATTTTAAAACTATGTGTATATAAAAAAATATATAAAATATTATTAAATTGAGAACCATATACAATCAATGACTTTTTCAAGACAGGTTTGAATAATGTGCTTAAGAGCAAGATTTTAGTGCTCATTTTGTTTAGTTGACTCTATTTGTTTCACAACTGGTTCACAGCTACTATATAGCATTTGTGTTTACAAATAAAGATTACTGTTATTGTTAGGTGCTGAAATGAGTCATTGCATTGACATATTGATTATATCAAATAACTTAAAGCATTGGACCAAATAACCCTCAATCAATTATTTTCAGTCCATTTAATGTTTCACAATTTTTTTTTGTAGCTTTTATATTTTTTAAGTAGGGTGTTCATTTAACTCTAAAACACCAACCACTGCACATATTGAAGTGATTCAAAGTTAGGATAATGAAACATACTTTTGTTTTACCCTGTACAAGTCTAATGGTGGCCATCAAGAAATTAAATCTGCAAATTTAAGCCAATGGGTGGTACCTACCGCCTACTGAGAAAAAAAATCATCAAAATGTAGTTTTACCACTGAGAAATAATTTTTACAGCAGTAGAAGAGAAACAGTCAAAAGCTGGTCTTGCCAATAATACTAAAACCAACTGGGAAATGATCGACTGGTCTTGCACGAAGAAAAATGGATATGATCAAACTCATAACATGAAAATAAGTTCTTGGAATGTTGGAGGCTTAAAAAGATGGATCAAGAAAGGTTGCTTGGAGTATGTGAAACTAGAAATGCCAGACATATTCTGTCTTCAAGAGACAAGATGTAAGGAAAATGACCTTCCCAAAGAATTGGATGAATTGGGAAACTATAATAAATATTGGCTTGCAAGCAAAAAGGATGGATATGCTGGGGTTGGGCTTTTTACTATAAAGAAGCCCTTGGATGTGTTGTATGGTATTGGCCAAAAAGAACAAGATGATGATGGCCGTTGTATCACGGCAGAATATGAAGACTACTATGTCGTATGCGTCTATGTGCCTAATGCAGGTGAGTATATGGTAGTCATTTTTTGAGAACTAATTGTTAGAACATGTTGTTCACAATACATGTAATCCATTGATCTTGGATCAGTTCTTGGTGTTCTGTACGCAATGACTGAATGATGTTCTGTCATCGAGTGTCATATGTTACTAGAGTTAAGTGTTGCAACTTGTAACGACCGCATGTGTGTTTCGCTGTATGTTCTTACCATTTTAATAAAACCAGTATATTATAACCATCTCCATTCCACAAGTGTGTAATATATCGATTCACCGACTCTAACAACAGGTTATGGGCCCAGTATAGGCAGATCGAAGATATTATAGCGGAGGAGATTGTACGCGAAAAGGTTCAAAAGTTAACCTAAAATTGTTAGCTGGTTAGAACTGGAAAACGTGTGGGTGTGGTGACTCAAGCTCGCATCTATAGTTCAAGGATTCCTTTGAAAGCCAAATAGAAAAGCTCTCGAGATGTCTGGGAACAATTCAGGTCAGTTATGTTTTGAGAAACTTAAAGGCAGAAGTAATTATGCCAACTGGAAGTTTAGCATGAAGATGGCTTTAATTCATGACAATCTGTGGGAATATATTGTGAATCCTATAGTTGCAACAACTGAGAGAAGCACCACAGAAGATACAAGAAGGCAGCAGCGTGCACTGGCCAAATTTTTTTCTAATGGTAAAGCCCTGTGTCTACGTATACTCTTATGTGAGAGAGGCTACGAACGCATCTGAAGCATGGAAAAACCTGGAAACAATGTATAATGATAGAGGTTTGTCAAGGCGCTTAACATTGATGAGACGCATAGCAGAAATTAAGCTAGCCGATTGTAAATCAATGGATGCATAATTATGTTTGTGAAATAATGACGATTTCACAGAGATTAGCTGATATGGGAGAACCCTTAGATGATGAATTTGTTGCTGTAATTATGCTCAGTGGATTAATTCAGGAATATGATCCCATGGTTATGGCACTTGAAAGTGGAAATCAACAAATAACCACTGATTTCATCAGATCCAAGTTGCTTCAAGACAAACACATAGAGCAGACAAGTACCAATGATGAAAGAGCACTAGTAGCTGTTAAAGGAGTTCGGAAAAAGAACTTTAAGTGCTATCAGTGTGGAAAGACTGGCCACTTTAGGAACAAATGACCAGAAAGAAATACTGGAAGCAGGCAAATAAAGCAGGAAAATAAAGCTTTGCACATTTGACTATCTGCTGAAGCTGGCTCAGATAAAACAAATGAGTGGATTATAGACTCAGGAGCCACAACACATATGTTGTGAACTAAGGATTGGCTGAACGATTTTAGCCAAAAAGAACTGCAGATAACGATAGCTAATGATAACAAAATATTGCCAGATGGTCTTGGAACAGCTAGTATCAGTAGCAAAAATGGAATCCATAATGTGATGGAAGTGTTGCATGTACCTCCACTGAGAACAAACTTACTCTCAGTAGACAATATGGTGCAGAAGGGACATGTTGTAGTCTTTGATAAAGATAAAATGTCACATCATAGATGGTAAAACATACAAAGTGACTGGTAATGTCGTCATAACAGCAACAAGGGAAAATGGACTTTTCAAGATAAGTTCTAAAGAAGTCACTTGTTATTCAGTGAAAACTGAGGAAAGCCATAGGCTTTGGCACTTATGATTAGGCCACTTAATGCAATAAGGTTAATTTAAGTCATCTTCTTTTATTTGGTTGCATTGCTTACAACTTTGTACCTGAACAACAAAGAACAAAATTTGATGCAGAGTAAAGCATACATTTTTGTGGGTTACTGTAAAAATAGTAAAGGATATAGACTATTTGATCCTACAAAGCCAGGTAACATCACAAAAAGAAGACATATAACTTTTATAGGAAACAAATACTGGAAAGATTTTAAGAATAAATTTGAAGAAAAAGAAACTCCAGTAATCTTAGACAGAACTGCATTGAAAGATATACAGTCTACAGAGGAATCGACCACATGCGTGTTTCGCTGTACGTTCTTCCCATTTTAATAAAACCAGTTTATTATAACCATTTGCATTCCACAAGTGTGTAATATATCGATTCACCGACTCGAACAACAGTAATGATAACCGTTATTCTTAGCAGTCCCAGATACTGGCCCTCTCTAATGCTTGGCTTCAAACATTTCAATCATTGCAGCACATTTATAACTGCAATTACTTGATTTAGCTTCCTCTACTGATATGATAAAATATTTGCACTTGATGGGCATAAGCTAAGTGGTAACTGTTTAACCCCATAGTTAGATTTAGTAACCTGTATATATCGCACATCACTATTGGGCGTTTCAAAAGCAAAATAACATATTCAAGAGACAGGGTATCACATATTTCAAGTGAAAAGGTCATCTGAATGTATGCCTGAGACATCTTAAATTTTGAAATATAGGGTGGTGGAGAGTAGTTTGGCGCACTATTCCACGCTAAGTACCTGAATGACAATATACTAAATTTTTTTCGTACGCAAAAAAAAGTGCCGAAGGTCGAGTGTCGTCAGCAGTTGGGGTATGCATTTGTTTCGTTATTTTTTGCAGGACTAGGGCTAATTACTTTGCCGAAACGCGTAGATTGGGACGATTCTTTCAAGAGGCTTATCATGGCGCTAGAGCGAAATAAGCCGGTCATCATTGCTGGTGACATGAACGTTTCACATCATGAAATCGACCTGGCAATGCCAACAAATAAAGTGAATAAGGCTGGTTTTACAGCTGCGGAGAGATTAGCAATGGATGACCTCTTAATCTGTGGCTACTTTGATGTTTTTAGACATTTGTATCCTGGGACAGTAGCCTACACATTTTGGACATACATGAACTATAGAAAAAAAAATATAGGCTGGTAAGTATCAGTTTGCTATCATAGTATTTACAATTCAGTTTCGAAAACAATCTTATAAACCTGTTGGGGACCAAAGAAAGCCATACATTTTTTTTAACTGATATATTTTTTCATGTGGGGAATCATCAGTCGCGGTGATTAGAGGAGGCGCAGGAGAAAGGATCATGGTGTATTAGCGGAGTTTTCGGCTCTGAAAATAACTCACATTTCAAGTTGATCTATGAAATTTCACATTTGAATAAGTTCGAACATATGTAATTCAAACATTTATCCAGATTTTTCTATTTATTTCAGTACTCAATAGTTTATTAAAAGCCCAAAAGTTTGCAACATTGGCATTTTTGCTCAATATTGACCCAATTTCACAAATTCAACTTGAGTATTATCTAGTCAGTCGCTTATGCCGTTGCCTGTACGTAAAACTTCGTAAAACAAACAAAAATTGCATCATAGTAGAATTTCTCAGGCATACAAAAACTTGAGAGAGCGATCCTCATAGTTACCTAAAATATCGGAACTGCAGACCGATTACACATTAAAAACTCGCGCGGTATGTAGAAGCATCCTAGCTGAGGAGTCGACAGAAGTATCAAGTTTGATTTCGTTGGTTGTCACTTTGCTGGTGGTCTGCTCTCGTTTTTTTTTCCGATACGAAAATTTTTGTGATTCAGTGAATGTTGGGTTTGCCCGGTGTTTTTAACAGTATTTACATTGAAAATGCAATCTATTGAGAATATGACAGCAGCGAAGAATACATACTTTTCCATAAAGCTCTTTCGTAAATTTCCATCAGTAATCCGTCTCTTTTTATTTTTACATATTCGTCTTTATTATTGGTTCAGACAAGCTACACTATAAATTTTTAGATAATATCGGAATATTATATTTTCTCCGCCGAAATGGTAGCCGTTCTGGCACTGACAGGAGGGTTTCATAGCTGATTGTTATCTAATATCATTATAATTGTGTATTCATTTGTTTCAGCTTTTGTTTTTAATGTGAGCACAGTGGCGCAATACATTAATTTATTGTTATATATGTTTTGTATCTTAGCATAGTTTATCATAAATTTGAAATAGTAGGTGTTGCATTCGTATACCCATATAAGAATACTAAGTTAGATATTCGAAAATAGGCGAATTTTTATCAAAAATGTCAAAATTACGGAATTGGGCTTCTATCACCAGACATACCATAACAAAGTTCATTTCTTTATGTCCTTCCCTACATCCATGTATCATACATTTAATCGCGAGGCAAAGTCCAGTCATATGATCGAAAGATGTTGAAAGGTAAAAAATATGTTCATACCATATGTATTTAGATGCACACATGTTGTAGATGTGAAATTTCAGTTGTCTTCGGGACCGAAAACTCGTCTTATTGACCCTAAGCCTCTTCCAAACGCAATAGAAGACAGCCCCCAAATGGCACAAATTCAGGAAAACATTACCAAACTTCACTTGCTTAAATGGACGTACCATTACTATCATTATTCTAAAACAAACTAATTTTTTCTACTATTACAAATTGGATTTTTTTTGCAGGAGGCTTGACTATTTTCTGATCTCCGAAAAATTAATACGCAAAGTGTGTGACTGCGTAATTCGGAGCGAGGTATTGGGCTCTGATCATTGCCCGATCACTCTTTTTTTAAATATCTAAATCGTGTTTGTGTTCCATAGGTTAAGTGTTCGAATATTTATGTTACGTTTTTATTTTGTATAACCCAATGTTTTTAGTGAGAACATAATGCTTAGGCTGTGATCATAGCCTATCCATTTTCTTCCAAATACCAACGCTATATATTATTTTGTCTATAAGATATGGGTATTTCACAATGTAATAACATTCAAGCTATAAGGCTGTGATCGTTGCTCAATCACTGTATTTTAAATACATAAGTTATCCTTGTCTGTGTACCACAGTGTCACAGTAGTATTCAAGTTTGTATGGTTACCATTTAGCATGTAGGATTGTTCGTTTTCAGTTTTGGCGAGTTCAACTCGCAATATGTATTTTCTATATTTGTATTTTTCTAATAAAGGATTTGCCAGTAAGAAATATTTATTCTGTTTGTCACGTCAGTAACCCTATATATTAGGAAACAGTTCTTTTTCAGGAGTATCCCTTACGGTAAAATAACAGCTGATTATCTAGTAATATTTCAAAATTCCTAAAGCGATAAATGACACAATTCTGACGGATACGTTAACGCCAGGTAGACAGAGCCGTATTATGTTGTTTTTTTTGTATGCTACGGATCCGTTTTGTACTCTTTTATTTAGAAAAGTTCCTTCGCATACAAAAACACAACATTTCAGGTCAGGTAGGAATGAAATGAGATAAACGGGTTTCTGACTTTGTTGATCATCTCTATTTTTAGAACTTGAAACACTATGTGATTCTAGCCATTTTATACTACAGTGTGTAGGCCATATAAACATATTTTTGCTGCTTTGACAAATAATAAATTTTGACCCCAGGAATGATACGAGCACGAGACCGCGAATGGTCTTCGTATTTGATCTCCTGGATATTACTCGGGCCATTTGCTCGGCAGCCAGCAAAGTGAAGGGCTGGGAGGTGTTAACTGATCACTCCAGATCAGATCACAATTACATCTCATTTTCTAAGTCGACCTTTATACATGAAAAATTCCGAAGAGAACAAAAAGACAATCTGGATATGTTGGACCCTAGCTGTGAACAAGGGTTGCAATGGAAAGACGAGATCAATTCCAGGCATGGAAATGATCCACGTGATCAGCCATCCATTTTTTATTTCAATTTTGTAGCAATCTGTCTTATTTCGAGTACGAAAAATGGAATCAAACTGTATGATGCAGTATTAAGTAAGACCCCGGATGTTATCCTCCGATACGAAATACTTAAAGCCGACGAGCCGATGTCCCTGAAGTTAGCTTCAGATTCAGATTCGAATATGATCAAATTACAGTCGACCAGTTCAGTAGTGAGCTCAAATCGCCGATATGGTAGAAAACTGGTAATTTCAGTTCCTGAGGGTTGCTTTATGTTAAATAAGGCTTTTAAACAAATTATTTTAGATAATATTCCAAAATTCGATATTACCAGTGGTAGAGTGAACGGGAAAACGAGAACAGGCACTAGTGTGCTATCTTCAGAGGAAAAATACCAAAAATGATTTCTTACATGACGCTCCTACTGTTATTAGACCTAATTGTACTACCGCTGTAAATACCTCATATATGTTAAACTAAGTTAGGGTTATACAGGGTGATTTCGACAAACGATACGTTTGTGTTGGGAGTACATACAAAAACTAAAAAAATCGCAAAACCCAAACGAATAATTGTGTCACCAACAGACTCATACATGTTGTAGAAGTCATAGGTGTAGAACTTTATGGCATAGCTTTGCGAAAAATCGGGAGAGTACAGGGTGATTCTGGGCATACACGGGTTGATTCCTCAAAACAGAAAAAAATCGCAGAACCCAAACAAAGACTTGTGCCACCAACAGACTCATATATGTTGTAGAAAGCTCATAGAAGTACATCTTTATGGTATAGAGTTGCGAGAAATCAGGGGACTACAGTGTGAATCTGGGCATAAGTGTTGACCCCGCAAAACAGAAAAAAATCGCTTAATCCAAACGAACAATTGTGCCACCAACAGACTCATATATGTTGTAGAGACCTCATAGGTGTACATCTTAACGGCATAGCTTCGCGAAAAATCAGGGGACTACAGGGTGATTCTGCGCATACAAGGGTTAACTCCCCAAATCAGAGAAAAATTCGCAGAACCCAAACGAATTTTTAGATAAGATATGATTATGTTGTACATCACGCTTCTGGCCGGTGTGAAGTTAGCAGCCAAATTCCAGCAGATATCCGAACGAACAGTGCCGTCGGCCAGAAGAAATATTATGCTCTTATAACACTAGTTATACATACAAAATACAAGCAGGAACAATTACTGTCAGAATAAAGTAGCTGAGCGAACTACTAAAGCGGTAGCAGCCAAAAACCAGATATTTAAAAAATCGATTTCAACCCTTAGGCCCGTATCGTCAGTCGTCCCTACAATTGTAGGGCGCGTTTATGGCCTCCTTGATTGACATACTCCTTTCTCTCCTTAAAAAATTTCTAGATTACACTTGTCCCGTGTCAGCGTCAGCGCTCTCCTATTGTAAAGATATGTTTTCTTTTTAAATTGTAGGAAATTTCAGGCTGATAAAACATGATATAACTCAAAAGCAAGCACAATTTGATGCAAATAGATGTTTGTGACATAACCTCAAAATAGAGCGCTGACACGGAGAAGTAGAAAACTATGACAATCAAGGAGGCGATAAAGGCGCCCTACAATTGTAGGGACGACTGACGATACGGGCCTTAGGGAATGGGTGTCTTCGATGAAATGTATCTCGAAAAATTGCTCATATATTAAGACAATTTATGGGCCAGATCAAATTTACTGAGCGAACTTCTAAAGGGCTAGCAGCCAAAAAGCAGATAATTAAAACATCAATTTCAACCCTTAGGGAATGGGTGTCCTCGTTGAAATGTATCTCGAAAAATTGCTCATATATTAAGACAATTTATGGGCCAGATCAAATTTACTGAGCAAACTTCTAAAGGGGCAGCAGCCAAAAACCAGACAATAAAAAAATCAATTTCAACCCTTAGGAAATGAGTGTCCTCGATGAAATGTAACTCGAAGAATTGCTCATATATTAAGGCAATTTATGGGACAGATCAAATCTACTGAGCGAACTTCTGAAGGGCTAGCAGCAAAAAAGCAGATAATTAAAACATCAATTTCAACCCGTACGGAATGGGTGTCCTCGATGAAATGTATCTCGAAAAATTACTCATATGAGATCAAAACAATTTATGGGCTAGTTCAAATTTACTGAGCGAACTTCTAAAGGGGTAGCAGCCAAAAACCAGATAATACAAAACATAAATAAAAGTTCGTTCCAGTAAAGTAGCTTTTTTTATTATTATAAGACTTCGGTCGACACAGTACAATTGTTGTAGTACAGAATGATAACTTTGAATGGTCAGATAATGAATTAATCATGAATGCTGGTACAGCGATGTTTATGCTAAATCTCAAACAAAGAAATATTCCAGAAAGCTCTAGAAGTAACACCTGCAAATCTTGGAAATTGACAAGAGTTGGAGACGTGTGCAAACAATCGTTATTCGAAGAAATGACCGATAAAAGACTGTCACCTTATTAAGGGGATGGTCATTCTAGCGTACTGCTGAATTAAGGAGATGGTCTCTTGAGGAAACTAGTTATTAGGATACCATAATTTACACGCTACCTCGAAACAGCTAGAATCAATCATCGGCCAGGGCAAGGTAAACATTTTTTGCCTTGCACAATAAACATTTTCCAAAAAAATTTTTAAAACCTTTACAGAAGTGGAAGGAAAATACTTTCTATGTCACCAACTTTTCTGATACCTGTAGAATTTTGAAATAATGTATTTAGTTTTACATAAATTATCTCTTTAGATTTTCTCAGGTCATCATTTTTAGAGAAAAATCACAGCAGAATCGACCACTGCGGAAAGCGCATAGCTGCTATTAGTTGGTACTATTAGAGATCTCAGTTCACGTTTCCAGTTACCACGTGACCGCTAGATGGCTGACGATTCTGGGTGTAAAGTAGATGTGGTGCACTTGCCATTGAATAAACTAAACATGATGGTTTCGTCCGTCCGACCAAAAGGCCAACCATGGCTGTTTCGTGCTTCTTGGCTACGCATCAGCTTGGCCGACGAAACAGCTGTCTATGGTTGGCTGTCTTTTTGGTCGGATGTCGAAAAATAATTATTTTCGGAAAGACTCAGTTACGTTGTGCAAACAATGATACGAGCGTTGTTTAAAAAAAGGTTCCTAACGATGTAACTTTACCGCGCGTGATCATAGGCGAAATTTGGCAACACCGTCATGTTTGTCGGCTCCCCCACCACCGATTCAAACAAAAAGCGCCTATTGGTGACGCTCGGTAGCGGCCTGACGGCCATGCGCAGTGGAGTCCTTTATCGACGTCACCGCCAGGTGTGAAATTCGTGCGGTTATCTGATTTTTGCATGCAAAAACGTTAAAATGTGTATAAGCATTTAACATGTCCTCAAATGGTGAACAGAGTTCTTCGAACGGCCGCATGGACATCCACAATAAACAGCGTAGTGGGAGGCCGTCGATCTCCGAGGAAGTTATGGCGGAGATTGAGCAAATCTTGCTCAAAGATCTGCAAATCACGATCCGGGAACAGGCAATAGAAATTCCTGAGACTTCTGAAGAAGCTGAGACAAAGCGTAAAGGATACTTGTTTCCTAGTGTTGCCTCTTGTTGACGTTCGACAGTGTTGTTCAAAATTCTATTAATGCCGCATGCTGATTTTGTTATCGCTTATGTATCTGTTTCGGATATCATGTTTCTTCATTGGTCCACTCCATTTTGCCGCCTGCTACAAGTCGCACCGATCCGAACGGGTTTGGATAGCCGGCGACCCTGATCAACACGTGGATTCATGCCGCTGACGGCGCCCTCGAGAGGCAACAACGGGCAAATTGTGGCATGCGGCAAGGAGACATTTTTTTTTTGTCGCTTTGTGTTGCCTCTATGGAAAGACAGTGTGACGCATGCGTCAATGCCGTATGCTACATGTTGCCTCAGTTTAATTGCGCCTTAAGACTGTACCACGACAATGCGCATCCCCATGTCTCACAACAAACGAAGGACTGAATAGAGCGATTTGACTGGGAAGTTATTTACCATTCCGCTTATAGTCCCGACATATCCGAAATTGAAGGAGCACCTAGGACCTAGGCGGTCAACAGTTTGAGACGGATGAGGAGTTGGCAAGGAGCATTTACCAAGTTTACAAGCGGACTGACGGCGGACTTCCTTCAGGCGGGATTGAGAAAGTGCTGGATTCCTCGTCCAAAAAAAAGACGTAGAATAAAGAACGACTATGTAAAAAAATAGCTTAAAGATCAACGTTTCCATTGGTAAATTCGTTTCTTTTAATAAAAAATTCCTTGAGACAAACTCACGTTATACCATATCCGCTATATATATTATATAAATAAATAAATTAAAGGAAATTGAGAGTCGAGGGTTACAAATAAAAATGTATTTATTTACAAACTATATGTATGTCTCCTTGTAACAACTACAATTTACAACATAGTGGAACAAAAATAACTAGGTTACACAAATTCACAGTATACACATAACAAAATAAAACATTTATCGCCTCAATTTTAAGGAATTGTACATCTGGTGTGAACAGCACAGGCTTATAATGTACTTCTCTTTGAAAATGATTTACCGATATGAACACTCCGGTTGCAAGAACTTTATAAATGCGATAACACATGGCAAGTCTATGAAGCATAATATGACTGATTCGATTATTAATGTCTTTTAATGGCACTTACATATCAGTTCGAGATTAGGATGAAACATGAAAAAAGTGAAACTATGGGGTCGAAAGTTGGAACTGAGGGACGCCGAATGTGTTTTCTAAAAGTCTTGTGTTACTCTGGACGCTTATCCCAAAATTTTGAGCCAATTGAAACGAGTCGTGGGCTTATGATAGGCATCAAAATGTTGCTTCAAAAAGCATAAAATATATGGGATAAGTCCACTCATCCTCACTTTGGGAAAGTTTATCGCGTGTGGTTGATTTTCGATCTCGCTCAGCTACCCTGGCCGGAAGTGGAATCAGTCCCTGCTTTCGCCAAAGAATTCTCTACCAGCTTCTTGTGATTACCGACCAACTCTGGGAGATCGTATGCGATAGCAACATCCAACCTATTTATTGGGCAACCTCTGAAGTAAGTGCATGTCGCTGATAGCTGTTGGAACTCGTACAAAGGATTCAGTCTGAAGAAGTCTCTGTAAACATCAGGATCTGGCAAGTCATATCGAGATATGTTTGTCAGTGTTGATAGACCTTCGTATATGTGGTAGTTTTGAGGATGTTCGATGATTTCTTCTGCAACTTGCTTGCGGTTGCCAAATACAGATTTGTGATTGTAGTATGTCGTAAGGTAACAGTCTACCATTTTAGCGTGGTTTCGTACACGCACCTGAAACAAGTATATTATCAGCGGGTGTACAGTCTGAAGCACTATTAATAAGTTAAACAACCCAAGTAACATAAGCATGTGAAAATGACGTTACAAACTGGCCCTGAAATGACGAGGACTCACGAGTTGAATGACGTTAAGGTAACGTGAAAATGATGACGTCATATGGCAGAGGTCAATAATACGTTACTTGCTGGACGTGAAGATTACGTCTATTATTTGTAATGAATAACTAGTTTTAGGTTCTTCAAAACATTAGACCGGGTGTTTCAAATTCGCTTCCCACCATTGGGATCTCGGAAACTGTAATAGATACGGAGTCGCTTAAATGGGAGCAAAGTTGTGTATTTAGGTAATTAGGAAAGTTCCGCTTAAAAATTCCAAGTACCTTCCGAAGAGAGACGGGAAAAATCGAATTTTTCCAAAATGGTTTTAATGTCTCCCTCGCTTTATTTGTGGTGGGATTCCAAAATAAGTTGCACATTGACGCTGACACTTTTTCTCCTCTACAAGATGACATAATTTGAAGTTCAATATGACCTTTTGTCTCTTGTCCTCCAGCATCAACTTTATTTTTTACTATGGATGCCACAATGGATTTTTGCACAGGTGAATAGAGTTTTTCATTCTGATTGCAAAAATGTATAATACATTTCACATTGATATTGCCAAACCTTTCATTAAAAGCAAGATTCCCCAGGTACGCCTTGGAAATTATCATTTGTTTCGCATACGAGATCTATCCCAAAATCATTTTTATTTTTTCCTTACTTTATTTGAGATAGGATTTCAAATAAAATTGCATGTTGTCCTTGTTACTTATTCTCCTCTACAAGAAGCTGTAGTTAAATTTTCAATACGAGGTTTCTTCTTTCGACTTTCATCACCAAATTTTTTTTTCCATATGGACATTATATTTGAATTTTGCACATTTAAATGGACTTTCCAGTCCTAAATTCAGTGATATAATCATAAATAACCAGAGGTACATCATGGCAGATGTTTAAAATGTTGTCCGTTATTTTATAGACAAAGCCGGATTCTTCTCTGTACATTACTCACTTTTCGATTCACTTCCATTCTTTTCAGTTTTCCAAACTATGTTGCTATGCTCAAGTTTTTTTTTGTTTTTCTGGAATTACTAAGGTTTGCCAATGTCAATATATAGTATAACATATTATACATTTTTGAAACCACAATTAAAAACTATTTATCTGCGCAAAAATCCAATATGGGGTTCATAAGAAAAAATAAAGTGGATGCTGGAGGTAAGAGTCTTATTGAAATTCTAATTATGCCATCTTGTAGAGGAGAAACGTACAGTTTATTCTAAAATCCCACCACAAATAAAGCCAGGAAAAAAGTAAATCGATTTTAGGAAAATTCGGTATTTTCTGTCTCTCTCCGGGAATTCGAAACTTTCTAAGTGGCATTTTGTTAGTTACTTAAATACGCGCTTTGCCCCCATTCAAGCGACTACGTATGTCTTTCCGAGATCTCAATGGTGGAGATCGAATTTGAAACACCCGGTATATTGTGTTGTATTACATAGACGAAGCACCATAGGCTAAAAATTGTCACACTGGCACAGTGCTACTTCCTAGCGATGAAAAAAGATTTCTTATACTGGGCCCCCATCCATCACTTTTCCTGTTTACATCATGTTTGGGATGGGAACACTAAACTAATGTTGTCTTCTTTACACCCTATGTAATACTACGGGTTCTATACACAACATGTTAGAGAACTAAACTCGCGTTAGCCTGAAATTGTTTTCAAAATGGCATATGTTTCTATAGTTGTGCTTGAGCCCCTAAGTCTCCCCCCTGAATACGCCAGTGCTCCTACTATAGTGAGCCACCGAAATACTCGTTTTCATTTATTCACATGATTGCTATTGTCATCGTGTCTTCGTTTCTTATGTAAAACCATTATAAGCGCGATTCAGCATATTTATGTGATGTATTACTACAGGGTTTCACACTTTTTTGACGGTTCTGTTTTTTCTCTGTTTCAACTAGGATTAGATCTACTATATCGGGTGTTTTAAATTTGACTCTCAGCTCTGGGATCTCGGAAACGGTAAGAGATAGCAAGTCGGTTAGATGAAGGAAAAGTTACGCATTTAGGTAATTAAGAAAACTGCTCAGAAAATTTGGCAATTCCGAGTATTTCCGGAAATAGGCGAATGAAACAGAATTTTTCCAAAATCGTATTTATTACTTTTTCCTAGCTTTGTTGATGTACTTTTTATTTTGAAATCCCATATCTCAAATAAAAGCAGAAAAAATAAAAATGATTTCAGGAAAATTCGGTTTTATCAAGTGCCATTTTCTCAGTTACTCAAATGCGCCGATTTGCCCCTATTTAACTGATCTAGTATCTCTCACTGTTTCCGAGATCCCAGTGGTGGTAGTCGGGTTTGAAACGCCCGGAAAACTTTTACTATTGTATACATTACCGCAAATCTTCGTGCACTGGCAATTTTGTTTTCAATACGTTTGTCGATGGCCCCTCGCAAGTCCCTCAGGAAAGCCCTTTCTTGAGCCTGCAGTAACCTCATTGGCGCCCAAGATTCGTAAGGCCTTGACCACAGTGAGACAGTGTACATTACAGGTGGTTGGGGAGATGACATCAAAGGTGAGATGTTCCATATTAGCGATCCTTGCACTCTCATTAGTTCTTCAGGTTTCACTTGGTCAGCTTTGTTCAGTACGATACGAGTCTGTAAAAGATATTCGATAGATCAGTTCAATACAAAATGGAGTCAAGTAAATTAACTGAGTACAAGGTGAAAAGCTGGCATTCTCTGGAGGATTTTTATGAAACGATTTTTTATAATCAAGTTTGTTTTGTACAAGCTGCAAAAAATTGGTAATTTGTTTCAATTTTTTGTATCATTCTGGACAAAAAAGGTCCTTTGTGACTTTTTTTGAAGTCAACCGTTTCAGAGCTACTATATAAGCGATATGAGGTCTGAAAACCATAAAATTTAACTCAACACAGAACGCTTTTTGAGTAAACAATACTTTAAAATAAATTAATAAACCATGTATAATAGACTTTCACTACAAACAATGATGGAAAAATGTCTCCTCTGAAAGTTCCATTAAAATCATATATTATATCTACCGATATACCCTGTCTACTTTAAAATAGGGTTACCAGATAGTAGGGATTGATATCGATCGATTTTGTATCACTCTCGCACACAAGGTGGCGCTAGTTACTCTAACTTTGCAGGGTTCGCTGCATGTTATGCTTTTTATTCCTTATAGACGCGTAGTGACGTCATACTATGCTAGACTGTGCCACTTACGCGCTATAGCTTTTTCTAATATAAAATCTTATTACTCCATTTGCTTGCCTTTAGAGAGCATTCAGATTCGGATCATGTATTTGTTGATCAATTAATCTTTATTTATTGAATATTTATTAAATTATGATATTATATTATTTTTCAGCCACAATTACTGCGTATTGAAAGGATGCCAGCAATAAATGATACCGACCGATGTTGTATGTCTCTTGCACTCTAGGTGGCGCTGGTTATAAAATAATAATAATAGTAATAATAATTGATGATAATAATAATGGCCTATTATTCCTAATATTTTAACATTCGTTTTTTCCCGTACACGTACATATGTTTCGCTGCAATATTGTGACGTTTCTTTCTGTCGTCATAGCGACGCAACACCATGCGAGGCACCATCATTTACCCACCATCGCTGTATGTGTCACACAATGTGACAGCTTCGTGAGCTTGGTTTAAGATATCACCTATCTTATGATGTCCATATTTTACCCTTTAAATTAATATTTGTGGGCATGGGATATTAAATTAGCCCGTCTTGCTACTTGCTACAAATTTTTGGAAAGGCCCCGATTATTTAATCAAAACATAAATTAGGATTATACAGGGTGGTCCATAAGTCCTGAAATTTCAAATTTGAATAAAATTTAACGGGTGAGCGTGAGCGGCGCGGGCGAGGTGGGGGCAGTATCTTCAGTGTCTGGGAATTCAGTCGCCATGGAGTGTTTCACTGGAGCGGATCGTGCTTTTTGTGTGCGCGCGTTTTATCAAAATAATGATTCGGCAACCATTGCGCGGCGTAAATATCGAGAATACCACAATTTACACAATTTTACAAAGTGTCCAACAGCTCAAACGATTAAGAACTGTGTTGCTAAGTTCGAAGAGACTGGTTCGACGTTAGATAAACAGCGGTGGGGTCGACCAAGGACAACTCGTATTGAAGAAAACATCAACATTGTGGCACAGTCTGTTCGTCAAAATCCTACCCAGTCTACTCGTAAGCGTTCCAGTGCACTAAACGTACCCAGAACATCTTTACAGCGGATTTTAAGGAAAGATTTACGTCTGCACGCTTACAAAATTCAGTTAGTGCAGGAATTAAAAGATAATGACGCTATTCAGAGACTAAACTTTGCGAATGAAATGTTGAATCGATTTTCTTCGCTCAATAATGTGTTGTTCTCGGACGAGGCTCACTTCCATTTAAACGGGCATGTAAATAAACAAAATTGCCGTTATTGGAGCCCCGAAAATCCAAGGCGTAAGCATCAGAAGCCCTTACACAGCCCTAAAGTTACAGTTTGAGCTGCTATGTCAGCGCATGGCATCGTAGGCCCTTATTTTTTTTTGAGGACGACAGAGGTCGCGCATTAACTGTTACTTCGGAGCGGTATGTAGCAATGATAGAAGAGTTTTTGACACCAGCGTTGCAGAATTTTCCAGGCTATAATACGCAGACCTGGTTTCAACAGGACGGAGCAACTGCCCACACCTCCAACACTTCTATGCCCGTCGTCTGTCAACTTTTTCCCAGCAAAGTAATTTCTCGAAGAGGAGACATTTCCTGGCCACCACGTAGTCCAGATTTGACCCCAATGGACTTCTTTTTATGGGGCTACCTCAAGAGTAAAGTGTACGACACCACTCCGCGATCGGTTGATGAAATATCCGAAGAGAAATGGCAAGCATTACAGTGTTGACTTGCCGCGCAGTCATCGACAATTTTAGACGTCGTTTATATGAGTGCCGCGATCGTAATGGATTGCATTTAGACGATGTGATTTTTAAAACATAATTCCCATTCAATAAAGATGATAACAAAATATAATAATTCTTCATAATGTAACTAGTTTGGTTTTATTCCTTTTTTTCCAGCTCAAATGACTTATAGGCCACCCTGTACAATTTATAATCTGCTACCTTCTTTACACTTGAGTTTATATCAGTGGGATATCCTCCTCTGGATTTTACGTCTTGAGGCTGGCAATGTATCAGTCGATCCTAACTCAAGAACCAATGTTTATTGACAACGAAATACGTACTGTTGATTGAAGATAATTACAGTCAGAAAAAACAAGGAACGTTTTTGGATTCACTCTGTTGCTGCCAATCAGTGTGGTGTACCTAGCTCCTCAGGGGCCCCATATCAAAATTTGTAGGGGTGGGAAGGGGGGGGGGGCACCCAAACGTGGCGAATCTCAAATGAGGGGCGAAATTTGAAGTAAATATTTTTACAAGAGAAACAAATAAACAATGAATAATATGAATTGTGACGTATTGACCATGGGCGCCCTTAGGAAGTTTTGTTAGTCAGAGGGGGTGCATCATCATCGGAAAGACATAACTTTCTGTAAAAGTGTACCTACTCTCAAAACTTTTTGAAGAGCGAGGGGAAGGAGTTTTTCGGAGTTGGGGTGGAGGTACTGTGAATGCGAGAATTTTAGAAATCCAGATAAATGTTTTTTGTTTTGCGATGTCTATGACACGTAAATCCAAGTGGGATCATAGTAGGTAAGGCTACTTAATTCTGAAAATCGTTTAAATAGCCGCGGTATTACGAGTAAAAATTAAAATAGCGTTTAGATCGTCACAAAGTTTGTTTTTTTATGCGTTACAACTTTGTGGTCATTTTTAGGGGTAATCAAATATCTTTGTGGAGAGGTAACAATAAATTATAAAAAAAATCGAATATTTGTTTTCTTCGTTTAGAAGAAACAGTATGGAGTTCTAGCATTTTGTTTCTTGAGCAAAATACTTATTCTTGGCTCATGGAAAAAAAATCCGAATTTTTTTCTTAACCGTGCTTGATAGTCAAAGTTGCCTCATAGTACTGAAGTATGTATTTTCATTACTTTTTAATTTCGAAAAGCTTCTTTCAGCTATTGTAGTTGTAATCTGGAGGGTTGAAAATAGGAAGCATGCTACCTCCTATCACCTAGCAGTAGGTACAATCTAAGGTCTACATTTTACCTCTTCCCTATATTTCTGTTGGCAACAATGTTTAGCCTTCAGATAATATTTTGCAAGTCAGTCAGTTTCCTATTAAAATTATTCAACATACCTGATGTTCTCGCCCTTTCAGTTGATCGAGTATAGCTTCAGTTTCAGGACCAACATCCAACTTGGAAGGATCATAAACTAGAAATATTATATCAGCTCTGTCGATGAACCACTGACATGCATCATTGAATGGGAAAAGGCGAGAGACTTGCTTACGCACTTCCAAAATTCCTGGTATCTCCACTATATTAACCTAGAAAACGAAAATAGAAGAGAGTAGCATCACTCATATACGCCACTGCTAATGTACCGTGTCTTTGTGTACGTGAAAGTTAACAGGGGCGTACCTAATGTATTAAATTTTGTATTTGACCATACAGGGCAGTTAAAGGACAATGGTAATATTTCTAGAGCAGAAACTAGGTAAAAAATGGCGTTAAGTAGGTGGCTCGGCAGTTTCTATGCGACGTTTTCATTAGTTCATAAACGATTATGTTTGGCACAAGTTAGTCCCTCTGAGCTACGACCGTATACCCCAATGGGAAAAATTAAAAAGTCGACATTTTTCCGAATTTTTTGTGAGTTTGTAGCTCCAGGTTTCTCGTTTTAAGACCTTTTGGCAAATATTTTCCGAGGCTACATGTTCTACGCAAAAGAGAGAGCACAATCTGGATTTTTTCTCCTTTTTTCAAGTCTACGAACATAAAAAAAAATATTGCAGTCAAGCCATGGTATGAACCCAATAGCTTGTTTATTCAGCTTCAGTTCTCTTTTTCTAAAACTTCGGTAAGACCTTTTTCAGCTGAGATACCCCAACTTCAAATCAAAAACTTTTTTGTCTCTGATCGACGATATCTTGACAACCAATTGTCAATCAGAAAAAGGCAGTTCTGAAAACGGAAATAAATTTGCTATAAGAATCTGCTGCAACCTTAAATATAATAAAATATCCTTGTCAGAACTAGAAGAAACAAGTAAAAGGGGTAATTTATGATTTTTCAGAACATCAACGGCTGATTTTTTAAATATTCCCGAAATGAATAAATAATGTTGGTGCTGCCATTCGAAGTTTCATTATGATCTAACAAACCGTGTACTTGTTGCATACCTGTTTATGAGATAAATCTCTGACCTTTTTACGTGTAAACTGAGCACCTGAAAAAACAGTCTTTCGGAATTACTTTTTTTCTTCATTGAAAAAGTTTATTTTTTTGATAATCAGTCCGTTATCGCGATTGTCCACACGGTACGGAATCGTTGGATACAATCGTCGTCTAGGGCAAGGCCGCTTTGCTCAGGCTAATGGCGGAGGTAGTGAAAATCAAAATTTTTTAAAAGCTCTTACAAAATAAAAACTTTCACTTTTCAAAAAAAAAATGTAGAGAATTGAAGGGAAAAAAATTCCAAGCCGCCAACTTTTCTGAGATACCTGTAGAATTTTCACATAAGGTATTTGTTTTTAGATAAATTATCTCTCTTGAGATTTTGTCAGATCATCTTTTTTAGAGAAAAATTGGTTTGAATGTTTGAGGTATAATCGGTATAAAGCACTATGTACGTTCTTCTTGGAAGATATGCTGAAGTGAGTGAAGTTTTGACAATAAAAATTAGCTACAACATTATTTGAAAAATATGCCCTTATTCAGACCCTTCAGTGACATAGAATTTTTCAATACCTTGTATCGAAGTTGAGTCATTTATTTTAACGGTGAGTAGATCTGATCAAAAGAAATGTTTTTTTCCTTTAACATTTGGTAAAATTAAAGTAACAAAGTTATAGCCCTTTAGAAGTTTGAGTACCGCCCTGTCTCAATAATAATATTATGTGCTCGTGTTTGGCAACTACGGATATAACCCGCCTTATCGGTTCATCGCATCGGAAACAAAAAAGCGAAAGAATTTGAAACGCTTATCACGATGTTTTCACTACAATTTTATTCAGTTGTATTCAGTCAATGTGTCAGTCGGTAAAGCGTGAGTGTATAGTGGTGTTTGTTGCGTGGCTCAAACGAAATAAAAAATGGCACATGTTTACGAAAAAGCTGAACTTGTGAACATGATTCTAATTTACGGGGGGGGAGTCTTCACAAAATGCTGCCGCGGCATCACGGATTTATGCGGATCGGTTTCCCAATCGAGTGCAACCAACCCCTCGTGCCTTTGTTAATGTAGTACAAAGGGCTCGTGAATCAGGTGACTTAAGACCTCACAGGGAAGGGCATGCCGGTGCTCCAAGACCGCACGATCAAATACAGGTCCGCAGGGAAATACTTGTCGGGAGGATACTTTATAAAACATGTTACATTGTTGTTTTTTCTATTTTTACACACATATTTTGGTTTATCTTCCTTCTACAATCATTATGTGAAAATTAATGACTCAACTTCAAAGACAATGGTATATTCTAGGACCTATGCTTATAGGAACGCGGTCTCTCAAGATGCCTACTGTCTTATCAAAAAAAAAGTCGTGCGTCTACGTTAAAACTCGTTAAACCAATTTTTGACGGTCGCCATCGAAGGAGAAGAGTCACCATATACAGCATGCAAGCGCTTTTTCCATTTTTCTAAAATCCGCGGACACGCCCGTTTCCACACGCGGTCAAAACAAATCTACGAGTCCGAATCGGCTGAAATTTTGGCAGTATGCGAGAATGTACTACACGATAGAAAATGTCTCTTGCGATAGTGGCGCCATCGGGAGGTGGGGCTAAGTACTTATCGGACCGCCCTCGTAGATATCAATTCCTTACCTTCTCTAGCAGTTTGGCTGGTAACTTGACCCCTCTAAGACGTTCTTCTAAGCCCTGGCCAAATTTTTGTAAGCCGGAAAATGTATAATCAGCCATTAGTTCAGTACCATCCAGAACTTCAGCTTCTTCACCGTACATTAGTATATTAAAGTATGCTGGTGAAGGTTCTGCCCCTGAAAAGTCATACAATTCAGAGCATGTTGCAAAACGTCAGCTGAATTAGAAGTATTCAGGTAGCCAAAACCTCAGTACGCGGTGTCAGATGTTAAGATGACAGGAAAATTATAGTCCCGTCAGTGTTTAAGCTTCATCTTTAGCAGAAAAAAGTAAGCAACTCTGTATAGAATCTACACCTACGAAACTAACCTGTTCTCAAGGATGTCTCGTTATATTCATTGTTAACTAGGTAATTTATTATGGATGACTTTCCTCCACTCCACGGCCCCATGAATAGAACCAAAGGCTTTGAAAATATTTCTGCATCCCCAAAATGCCTGTTACTAAGATCCCTGTACTTGTACAAGCCCTCAAGCGGCTTGATAGCATTTTCGTAGAGCTTCTTCAGTTCCCGTAAAGTAATTTCAGAGATTTGGTTAACAATTTCCTCGGTTTCCGAAGAGTGGTCATCAAGCTTCAAGAGTTGTTCAACATGTTCTCTAGATCTGAGGTCGGAAGGTACTTCTACATCTAGGATGAGGTCCTCTACAGCTACTTCTTCGGTCTTTTCGAAAGAAGCTTCTTGTTTTTCGTCGCTTACAGCTTCTTCTACTTCTTTTTCGTCTTCTTTGCTATCGCCTTTCGAGTCGTCTGCATCTTCGTCACCTGTATGAAGATATTAACATTATTCATGTTTCTCGAAATCATCAGTTAAAATTACTGATACAATAATAACTGCGTAATAGACAAGGCGAAAACCGTGTAAAACATTTTACAACTCGATTTTCTTCTCATAATCACTTCTTTAACAGAAATCAAGAGGTTACCGGGCGGTAACCAGGCAAGGTTTTTTAGGTCTTTTTGATCATTGTAAATAACAAACTGAATAAATTTTCATTAACGTTGACCATTTTGAAGCTATAAGCGATCTGAAGTCTGAAAAAGGCTAATAATGGACACATTCGAGACTAAAAAGTTCGGTTAAAGTTAATTGACCCTTGACTTTATGATTTTTTTCTATCAATCATAAATTTGCCGGCGATTTAAAGTTGAAACACGGAGGGGGGGGGGGTTATCTCCACGATTTAGGTCTATCAAGACAATTTTCATTCTTTTTTCACACCAAAGCCTAAATGCCACGGCACCGCGGCTGCTATGAGAAGGAAAGAAACTTTGTTATTCCGATTTCTGAACTAATTAAGGTTGACTGGAACTAGGAAAAGCCACCTCATGTAGATTGTTCCACAATCTCGATATCCAAGGGACAAAGGAGCGGTCGTATCGGCCCGTTCTGGATGTACGAAATTCGACACGGCTAGAATGGGACGGTTTGGCTGGCAGACACATCGCGTGGCAGCATCATGGAGGAGAACTCTGAGGAGCAAAGCCCATTGGCATAGCGGTAGAAGAGAGCTAGATCGCTGAAGGCCCGCCGATGCGCAAGACGGTCATCGATCAGTCGGATATTCCTTCTCTGAACGGCATCGAGCATGGATAATGTAGTCGTAGTAGCATAATCCCAAACATGTGAGCAGTACTCGAGGCTAGGTCTTATCTGGGCCTTGTACAGATTGAATAGGTCAAAAGTACTTCTTAGCCCTAAACAAATAGCTTTTTCCCAGCAGCTGCCGCTATTGACGAGATATGTTCGTAAAAGTGATCCGAAATAAACGGCTATTTGGTAGAACTCGGCCATCCATCGAAACCGGATGAGCTTAGGATGCTCCTTGTTCGTCAAGGTACAGTACTGTGTTCGGAAGCATAAAACTGTACAAGATTGTTGCGTCCCCAAATAGTAATAACCTCCAGGTCTTCCGTCAGAGAGTAAGTCGATGCTAGTCTTCTTTTCTCCAGCTCGCCCAGAGAAATCGGCTTGTCTCTCTGAATTCCTGCACGTCATCATACCAAGATGCAGAATAATTGTAGCCATTTTATTGGAATGATTGCAGGTTTGGGCATCTAGGGGGACGCTCTTCGCACCCTACTCTTCAGTCCGTAGGTGCTCAAAAATGAAATCCTGTGAGATTTCAGGTTGCGTCCTTACAAAATTAATCAGTTTGCGGTTAGATTGTTTTACTTGTGGTATGCAATTTCGGTGCGCTACAGCATACTTCAGCAGCTGTACGAGTGCCAACTCAAAATGCGGTCTCATATGAAAACAAGATAGGTCATTATATTCAGGGTGGTCCGCCAAATGCAGTCCTAAAATAAATAAACTCGTGAAAATAATGATATTGAGCCAAAGCCATATGTCTCCAGAACAAGTCCTCCCCCGCTTCCCCTAGATGTCCAAATTTTTTTAAGAAACTGGTATATGTTGCTCTACCGTGTATCGCTAATCGTGAGATGTGCGCCTCCACCGCCCCGCCCTTTTATTGTCAGAAAAGCATTTGCATTTGCATGTGCAATTTTCAATCGATTAGGCGATTGTATTAATACAAAAAATAAATAATAGTTTAAAAAAACTAAAAAAATACGTTTTTATAGCTAACCGAACTAAAAAGTTGAAAATAATTTTTAACTACAAAGAGTTTATATTACAGTAGTAGATGGTCGAACAATCATAATTAATGACCTCAAAATCAAATTAAAGTTATTAACAGAATTTCAATTTAGAGTAAACAGCGTGGGGTGCTTGATATATTAAATATTACAATCATTTTATTGGCAACTATCTATGAGAGGAGAGTTATGAAAATATAGTAAAATGCACCCCACGCTTTTTACTCTGGATTGAATTATTCTGTTTATAACTTACATTTTATTATAATTTTATTTTGAGGTCATTAATTATGATTGACTGTTCGACCATCTACTACTGTAATATAAACTCTTTGTAATTAAAAAGTATTTTCTACTTTTTAGTTGAGTTAGCTATAAAAGCGTATTATTTTTTTTGTATTTTTGAAATATTCTTTATTTTTCATTTTTTAGTTCGATTTGCCAATTAGTTTTTTATGGACATGTGGTATTGAAATGACTTACGAATCATTTCTGGAAATTGGTGAAAATTATGCTGAAAAAAGATTCCGTTCATTTTTGAGTACCACTATACGAAATTCCATTCTTCCGATAATTATGATGTGACAAAAAGGTCTGAGTACATACTCATCTTGTGATAACAATTCAATTTATATACTGATAAAATTATAACTTATGTAACGCGGATAAGCAACTGTTTTCGCTTAAAATATCTACAATTTTGTTTCAAAATGGATTTTGAGCTGCAATTAAGGGCTATTTAGATCAAATGCGTGTGTATGATGGTTATTTTACCTGTTCCAGTTTCTTTACTTTCGGCTTCTTGTGTATCGTTTTCTTCGGATTGAGTATCTCCGGTCGTTTCCTCATCTTCATTGGATCCTTTTTCAGCTTCCGTACTTTCTGCTCGTTCCTCGTGACTTGCAGCTTCACCTTCCTTGCTATCCCCTTCTTCATCTAGGACAGCTTGAGGCTGCTCTTCCACCTCTGCTTCTTGTTCCTGTACCTGTTCTTCTTCTAAGTGTTCTTCATATACTGCTTTTTCTTCTTCTTTCGATTCTTCATCATCCGCCTTGCTATCTGCTGCTTCAGCGCTTTCACCTTCAGTCTCTGTAGCTACCGGAGTTTCTGATTCTTCACTTGCTTCATCTACTTCCTGCTGCTGTTCCTCTTCCTTACTTTCTTCTTTCTCAGCACTCTCCTGTACTTCTTCACTCACTACTTGTTCTGTTTCTTTACTTTCAACTTCGTCTTCTTCAATACTGGTTACTTCGATAGTTTCAAGAACTTCTCTCTTTTCCCTGGTTTCGGTTTCAGCGCTCTCAGGCTCTTCTTTTACTTCTTCCTGTTCTATACTTTCGTCACCTCCTTCTTCTGACTGCTGTTGTTCTGCATCTTCCTCCTCTGAAGCTTCGTCTGTTGCTCCTGTGTCAGCTTCAAGTGCTTCTTCTTCACTTGCCTGTTGCGTTTCAGCTTCTCCCACCTCTTCTTTGCTCTCTTCGTCTTGTGCTTGTTGTACATCTTCTAGGTTTTCTTCTTCACTTCCATCCCCAGCTTCTTTGCTTGCTTCTTCTTCGTGTTCTTCTTTACTGTCTTTTTCTTCTCCTGAGTGAGGCTGTTCCTTTGAATCTGCTGCTTCTTTGCTATGTTCCTGGAAACATTTAAGTTTAATATCTTTTCTTCTCACCTATAAGAGAGATGGTAGTACAAATATCCTGTTGATTGGTCAGTATTTAGTCTCAGTATCCGCTACATTGATTTTGATGACATGTGGGCGATGTGCTTTTGTACAGTCGTTCATTTCTTGATTATTTTTGTGCTTAGTTATCAGTTTTTAAAAAATTGCCCTCGATCTTCACGAATTTCAAATTTCCGATCCCTTGAGACAATGCCAAAAGTCATCTGCGGTATCTAATATCTAAGCAGAAGCAGAAAGTTAGGTTATGGTGAAGCTGTATACCAACATATTTAGCATATGTACAGCCTTTAACAGTTACTAAACAACAGTTGTATAAGTGCTTCCGTTGGAAGCAATTTGTTGGCTAAAGTAGTAAATTTGCACAGCAAAATAACAAGGCTCGGGTTTGTTTTATAAACGTTACCATGGATGCCACAACATAACCATTTTGACTAACGTGCAAATATGCCGTATAAAATAGTTGTATAAACGTTTATGCAACAGTTAAAAATTTGTCATATAAGGTGTTGTATAACTATGCTATAAGAATATTTTAGAGCAAATATGTTGCAGAAAGCAAATTTGCATTCCACACAACATTAAGCCAGCATTTTGGTGTTCAGGCAACAACAGTAGAGAGCTTTTATGGCTAAACGGTTCTTTTACCAAAAGCTTATAGCACTACTTTGCTAGTTGGGATAGACCTGTAATCGTTTTCAAAACACAATATGTCAAAGCTTTTTCGAACAACCGATTTGTTGTTGATTTGAATAAAAATCTTTTAGCCATTTTTGTTTAAATTGGTTGTATTTTCGCGTATAGACCAAATTTTAGCAAATCTTACCAAAACTGCTTAAATGTTTATTGCTATGTTTATGAAAAAACTAATTTCCACAATATGTTCGACCCTGAATCTCGAAAACTAAGTACCACCGGACCTATATTCAGATGAGCTTTTCTTCTTAAACTAGCAAGAAGTTATTACTAGAAGACTTTCCAGGTACTTTATTAACATAAATCGTCACCTTGTATAGGTTATAGTTTGTAACATGTGCAGTGTCTTAGGCTTTATTATTAGCTACTCTTGGCGAAAAAACATGCCGAAGACATCACAAATCGTCCAAAGCTTTCCATACTTACGCGTCAATAAGCACATTGATTCACTTTAAAATGATATTCTTGACCATAAATAAAATTGATTGCGCAGTTATTGTCAAGTGAAATAATTGAGAACCCTGAAGCTGTCAAAAAATCGGAGCCCCATTTTTTTAGCATATTTTATTGTCTATAAAAGGTAATAGGAACCGCTAAATTTTTTGGTTATTAGTTTAGCCGTTATAATTGAAATGGTAATTACTTGTAAATTTGACATACAATTTCTCGTAAACTGTTGACTGTACAATTAAATTGCACCAAAATGTAACATAATTCAGTTCTGCATTAAAATTTTACTCAGCTTACCTTTTTAGGTAAGATTGACAGTTTGCGAGGTAATTGACAAGCTCTCTCATTAAAATGGCAGCTAAAGCTCCAGCTGTCTAATGATGCCAGTTTAAATTTACTAATTCCAACGATATCAACAAAAACTTTTTCTGTTGCACTTTTTATAAGAAATAAATTACCTATTTCCTGGAGTAGGACCTAACCATACCCCCTAGGCCATGGCATAGTAACCTAGGCCTAATCTTACTGACGAATCCGCCCGAGCTTATTGGTTGGCCTGGATTGCTATGAGCATACCACCTGATAACCTTGTTCTCGACTATTTTCTTTCTCGCTGTTTTAAAAATAACCCATCGAATGTTGGAATATTTTATAAATACTAAAATTTAAATCAATGTTAAATTCTACCTATACATAATATTGTAGCACGAGACTTTTTCAAGGCATTACCACTGACATTGATTGTTGCTATACATATATTTACGTGAACTATTTATAGTTTATTTTGTCTGACGTATAGTTGGCAGGTAGTTGTAGTGTCCCTCTCTTTCATTTGATTTTAGTGGTGTTGATGTCACAATTTGGAGATTTAAATTATATCATTCCCTGAGAGTTTCAGTAGATTGGTCAAAAGTGACATAAACTCATTATAACTTATGTACTCGTATTACAGTCTTCGAATTAGAAAAAAGCTTATGGAGTATTTATAAATTCCATGTTTTTAATCGATGAAGGAATTATGATCAGTGATAAAGAAAATAGAACACAGAAAAAAATGTACTTTTTGAATGCAAGCTTGTATATAGCTAGACATGAGTAAGAGGAAGTGAGTTGTCTTCTTGAGGTATCCCATTCCAACTTTGCTGTACTTGCTTCCAAAAAGATGTTAGCATTTTTGGAGCATGAGTATACCTGGGAGGCAAATGCTTGGAACACGCATAACGATCTTCCAGGCAGAGATATTTGCATGTTAATGGTGGCATACACAGACGAGTCGATAGTCACGCAGCCGTGAAGGCGGTAGCATCCCCGAAGACAAGGTCACCCTTAGTTCAGAGCCCTTCAGAGTTTAGCCGGATCTAAAAACGTGACCCAGCTTTGGGTCTCCGAACACAGCGGGGTGCCGAGCAATAAGAAAGCTGATCGCCTGGTCAGGTTGGGCATAAGCAACGGCCAGGTGAACATCACTCTGAATTATTAGGTATGCATGGAGCTGGGAAAAGTGTGGCAAGTGAGAGAGATGACTGCAAATAGGCCAAAAAGTTCGTAGGGGGCTCCAACAGACATTGAATGCGCTGGCTACTCGACTCGGATAGAGAATCACTCTTATCTGTTCTTACCTGCCACTGCAGACTGACAGTTATCTCTTTTAAGGGTGAAGAGAGATCCAATCTGCACCATGTGTTGGGAGAAGAAGATAATGGTCGTCCTCATATTGCTAGAGGTACAGTAGACCACCCAATTACGATCAAATCAACCTCCTTCCTTGGCCTCCTAGATCTCCAGACCATTCGCTAGTTGAACATGCATGAGATATGGTTGGAAGAAGTGCGACTAATTTACCTCATTCTCCACTAACGTTAGCAAATCTTCGGAGTCAAGTACTGCTAGCTTGAGATGAGGTATTTTAACTCGGGAAGAAATGGGTCACCTCATCAGAAGCATACCTCGACGACTGGGCGAATGTATCAAGGTGTACCAACACATTATTAGCTAAATCTAGCGATACCATGAATGTTTTCACTTCACAATTGGATCACGACTTCTTCTTGCTTACGTTCATTATTCAATTTTTGCCTAATCACTTAAATCTAAGTAAGCTTTGTTTAATTACCTTATCATCTGCACTCTCTCCTTTCGACGATTCTTCTTTTTTGGGAGCAGGTTTCTGGAAAAAGCCTGATATCATTATCGATAATTTTTGTATAACGCTCATATTTTTCTTGGGGGGTTCCGGAGAAGCTGCTTGGTCCTCCTGCGTCTCTGCCTCAGTCGTTCGTTTGGTTTCGTCGCTACCCTGATTTTCATCCCCATCTTGTTCTATAGAGGTTTCTTTCCCCCGCTCTTCGTCTGTCTCAGTTGCACCTGCTTCTGAAGACTCCTCCCCAACTGCTTCACCTGCCTCCAGCTCTTTCAATGCTTTCTCGATGTACGGTCTACACTCGGACTCAGAGGGACCTTCTGACTCGACCTCCCCTTGCACACCTGTGTTGAATACACAGGGTGATTATTAAATTATTGCACACGAAACACGGATACCATTCAAACAATAACGAATTTGGTGTGGATTGCGCAAAAATTCAAGGGGACTACCGTTTTCGAGTTGTAAGCGTTTTACATTATAAAAATGTGTGCTTATAAAGTTGGTTAAAATTTATCTTTTCAAGGCTCCAAGTGCTGAATTGAAGTCTCAAATTTCCACTGCAAGACCCCGGAAAGTATTTTACGGTTAGTTTAATTTAAAGCATTATTATTTAATTGTTTATAAGGCGCCTTGGGCCACGTACGTATCCCTCTAGCACAAAGCTACGTTCTCACGGAGCGTGGCTCGCTAGCGTGACCCTCGCATTCGTGGAACTTCCTCCGTCTGAACGAGGTGTCCTGAGCTTGCCTCTGAAGTCATCGAGAGAGAAGCAAGTCCACGACCACTCACGCGCGGTATCAAAGACGTTTAATTCATCATAATCTAATGTACGGTGAAACGCGATCCAGGAGAAAATCAAACTAAGCTTTAGACATTCTTAGCACTCTTTTTCAGTCCTCGGGGTATTCATTTCTTAGTTCAAGGTCTGCCAAATTGTGTTGCCCCCAATTTCTTCATACAAGTATCCATTTCCTGACCCAACAAAGGTTTTTCTTTTGTTTTGAACAAACCTGACTCTGAGCTTTTCAGCTAACATTTGAATGAAATCTGGATTCAGAGCACAACTATCAATTAGAAGCTCCTTCGTAGCCGGCTTCATGGAATAAACTGGATCGTGATCGTGTGAACTGTTCACGATCCTCGCTGGTTTACCTTTCATTCCCCATCTAAGATTGACGAAAGAGAACGAAAATTTGACACGTGTTCGTCCTGTCCCGTGAAAATGTAGCTCAAGGAAGGCGCACGGTACTTGGCGCTGACTCACATTTTTAGGGACTTTCAGACTAAATTACGCACCAGATCGGTGGAAGATCATCGCATCGATGGAGCTGGTTTATTCAATAATGTGGCACACAACAAAAAATAAAACAAAAGTTGAGATCCGTAAGAGTATCTTTCGACGCTGAATTCGAATTCACGATTAGAAAAGTTCCTAGACGCCTCGAAATTACCTACGGACCCTAAAAACTGCTCTAGGAGGCGTGAAAATTGTGTTTCGGATGCCAGAAGCTGAAGGATGGTAGTCCCATGTATTTTGAATGTGAATTTGGGGTTAACGACATTTTTACACCAATGGAATTCAATCCAACGACCAAAAAGTTTTGACCTCAAATTCCGATTCAGCATATTGCATCCGAAACTCAATTTTTAACTACTCTTTATTTGTAGTTTTTCGCCTCAGGGACGAATTCCAGGAGTTTAATAATTTCGGATTCTGCGTCGAAAACCACATGGGATATCAGCATCTCGCATACGAAACTCAATTTTCGGGCGCCCTCAGGTTTGTCTGTCCAAATCAGCTGCTAGGAAATTTCTCTCATGAATAGAAGGTTCCGCCTCCTCTATGAAACACAGAGAGCAAGTTAAACTGAAATTGAGGATCTTATTGCCAACTATCACCTGTTGAGTAGGACACCAAAAAAATACGGAATATTACGATGAATCTAGCTAATATAGTATATAATAATAATTTTATAGTGGCCATGTGATATGTAATGTCCCATCTTAATGTTAATTTGATGTAATAATAGCTTTCTTGGCTTACCGCACGTTATAATTGACAATGAAAATAGTTCTATTGGCATAATAAGCGCATACCTCTAAGGATTTATATATCGTGAACAATTAGCGAATTGCTTGGTCATTCATTATTTTAAAAGCAAATTATTGGCCCCTGCAGCTCTTTAGTGTGCCATTTTAGTGAATAAATAGTAAATTGCATACCTAGGTCTTAAAGTACTGCTCGGACTTGGATGACATTTTTACACAAGGTTACTACTATGCCAAGGACTGAAAACTTTGTAGTTTTTGAAAATCGGTCCAGTGGTAGTAAAGAACAGGCCAAAAACGCAAGAATGAAAATCGCTTAAACTTCGTTTTTTGGCGTTTAGGGTGTGGGGAAGGTTATATCTCGATTTATTTATATTAGTTACTTATACGATCTCAGCTCCTACTCATAGGTTTTCCCATACATTTGTCGTTAAAATTGTATTTGATATGCATCTCCTTCTTCTATCCCGTCGTAACGATCTGCTAGGTTGTTCTGCTCGTACTATGGTGGTGCTGTGTGGCGCGCTGTCGACGATATGGAAGGGGCAACATTGCCAGATGGACAGTACGTAACGGTAAGGCAGGGAAAGAATGTCTGTGGACTAATTGTATGGGCCAGTTTGACTGACTTGATTCGTTTCATCTTCCTATTGTACATGTTCGTAGCTATTTTTTTCTCGGGGGTTCTAACTTGTACTGAACTTAATCCTTTATAAACTGATGACGGCGTTACTTAGGAAGTGCAGTCAAGGGGGGGGGGGAGGGGGGCACCGTTCATCAGCAATAGAACAGGAGGTAGCAAAATTTCCTAACCAACCTCACAACCTACTAGAAACAGGGCCAAGGGTAAAAACGTTCGTTAATCTACCACTTTTTTCATGTAACCATTGATTAACGTATTATACCTGACAATATCCAACCTAATACTATATTCGCGCGTCCGAAAAATTATCCGAGATGAATTGAGATACCTTACTGTCATCTATGGGAATTTGTCACAGCTATATTTCTATTCTTCACAATTATTAGAAATCTACTTTGAAAAGGTTAGTGTCTCGTAGATGGCACTTTAGCTATATGCTCACATATATACTAAGTGACATATAAATCCGAACACCCAGTTGAAATGGTTTTATTTTAATAAAAGTTGGTGAATGTATTTATCTTACTGTAAATAACAAGTGAAAAAATTTTCAGCCTTATCAGTTGGACATTCTGGTTTTTATACTGCTTTTTTTTAATTCACTAACGCTCTAAAAATGAATATTTCAGCCGCAGTAAAGAATCAACGTTGGCGGATTTTGGTTCTTGACATCCTTTACGATCGGTTACGATGCCTAGAGTACGGAGACCTGTACGATTTCGTCAACTTAGTGAGTTTGATAGGGGTCGTATAGTGGGACTTCGGGAAGCTGGACTTTCTTTTCGGGCAATTGCAGTTAGAGTGCAAAGAATTGTAGACACTGTGGTTAGGTGTTGTCAGGCATGGCTTCGAGAAGGCCGTACGTAAAGAGCAAGGAGCACTGGACGCCGCCGTAGAACAACAGACCGTGAAGATCGCCGCCTAAGATTATTGGCCTTAAGGGACCGTTTCTCCACTACCAGGTCCATTGCAAATGAATGGTTTGCAGAACACGGAAGACCTATTGGCATGCGAAGTGTTTACCGACGAATGAGAAGTTTTGGCTTGTTTTCCACACACTGGGTCCTCCCTTTAACTCGAGAACACCGACGTAATCGCCTTGAGTGATGCAGACAACGGTTACTCTGGGATCAGGAATGGAACAGTATTGTCTTTAGTGACGAGTCTCGATTTTGTTTAGGCATGCACGATGGTCGTGCCAGGGTTAGAAGGCGACGTGCTGAAAGGAGGAATCCACAGTTTTTTGTTGAAAGACATGTTCATCACACTGTTGGAGTTATGGTTCGGGGTGATATAGCTTATGGTTCCAGGTCACCTTTAATCTTCATCAGAGGTAACATGAACGCGCAGCGTTATATCCACGAAGTTCTAGAACCCCATCTTTTACCCTATCTTGACACCCTGGCAGATCCAACTTTCCAACAAGATAATGCCCGACCAAATGTTGCAAGAGTCACAATAGACTTCTTTCAACATAATGATGTCACATTGTTCCATGACCACCAAGATCTCCCGACTTATCCCCAATTGAGCACGTGTGGGATATGATGGGTAGGAGATTGCTCAATTTGCAACGTCCTCCTCAGACTCTAGAAGCACTTCGAGAGGAGTTGGTGGTTGCTTGGAACGAGATACCACAGGAGGACATTGACCACCTGATCAGAAGCATGCCTAGGCGTGTTGGAGAATGCGTAGCACATCAGGGTGCATCCACACATTATTAAAGGTCAAAGGGCTTTAAAGCAGTGCAATCATTTTGAAATTTTTATCATTTACTTATTATGCTTCATTAAGTACTTATACAAAATTTTATTAAAATCAAACCATTTGAACTGGGTGTTCGGATTTATATGTCACTTAGTATAGTTGTGAGACACTAATCTTTCCAAAGTAGATTCCTAGTTATAATAGATAGGAGGAAGATTTTCGGTAGATTTCGGTCGACATTAAACCAAAAGTAAGAAACTTGCCGGTGATTGAAAATTGAAGAAGAGCTGCTTGACCACCAGTCGGTTTCGAAAATTCAAGAGCGGAAGGGGGACGATGGCATCAACTACTGAAATGCAGCTACTACAGAAAAGCGCGGGGTTCCAATTGCAATTCGTTTTATCGAAAATTCGGGGGAGGGGGATTAGCATCAAATTTGGATAGCGCAGGGTTGCAAAGTTATCGAAAATCAAGGAGGAGATTCTTGGATTTCGTTGAATTCCATGAGGAGGATAACTGGAGGATTGTTTTTACTTGAAAATAGAATATTGTTTTTGGACATGTGCTGCATTTTTAAATCGTTAAATAACGAATAATTGATTCTCCAGAGTTGTTGGGAAGAATAAATTTTTCAGTTAATACCAGAAATTTGAGATATAACATGTCGTTTTGTAATATAGTAGCTTTAATACAACACATGCTCAAAATCTCACCCTAAATCGTCTCATCTCTTATACAGGGTGGGGGAGGGGGGGGGGGTGCCGTTTGACTCGTGAGATCCTAGCATTTTACAGGTCTTTCTTCGCAGTCCGACTCGATCTGCCCGGAAACATGCTGCTGCACTTCGCCGTAGTGATGGTTCGGTAAGACAAATTTTGCATATGGATCTCCGCTTTCACCCCTACAAATTGGCCATTGTGCAACAGTTACAGCCCGGAAATT